GTCAAATAATTCTTAGATTTATCATCTACAATAATTTGAATTCAGAACTTTTTAATAATAACGCACATATACATACGCTCATAGCCCCGCACTAGGAAAACCCTGTATCACGGGTGCCATGGACACACGCATAGTCAACCACAAACTACAACCAAACTCACCAGATAAATAAATATAGCTCATACAAATATTTCTTCCCGCCCGGGAATCGATCGCGGGACCTCTTTGGCCACGGAGGCTGTTAAAAAGGACATACTTTATTACTGTTTTGTTTCGATTTTCATATGAAGTATATAGAGCTGTAAAACTATTTCCCTTTTTTATAACACCATTTACTGTTTAACAATAAACAAAGCAAGTTAACAAAAATATAACCACAATATTTAGCAGTAGCTACTCTGTATACTTCCAAGTCTGCACCAAGTGCAAAGAACTACACATACGATGACAGCCGAAGATCGACGAAGATTACCGAGATTGTACTGTGTATAAGAAACATTTCGCCAAAACATATAATAATATATAATATAATATTCGTAAATAACAACATGAACAAATATCATGATATGTTTGGTTGTGCTTTTAAAAATTAATCCTTAAATCTATACAACAAAGATTTTTATTTCGTTTGTCAATTAAATGTAGGAGCCAGATTCTTTTACACACAAGCCATATAAGGTAAAATTTGTCGTTTGAAAATCGCCAGTATGTCATTATTATTGATACAAAGAAACAGCCTTACGATTTGACTCGACTCGAACCAGTATCTGTTGTCATGTCGGGGCTACCATTCTTCAACTGCAGAAAGGCAACGAATAGAGGCATAGAAGTGGCTGTTTACTAGGCCAAGCAAATTTTAAACCGTTTAATTTATTGTTTTTTTTGTCATTGACTCGACAAGAAGAATACTGGTTGGCTGCTGCTGCTGGCTGCTTGGTGGCTGGTCCAAATTTTTTATTTTATAATATCAAGGGTCGGGACGCCTGCTGGTAAGCCACACGTCTATCCATAACAGTTGCCACTCAGAGCTTTAAATAGCAAAGATGTGAGGGGCATTCCCACTGCGCCCGTAACCCTGAGACATAAGTTGACAAGTCCCATGTGCCTGTAATTTCACCAGCAACCTTACCCTTCAAAACCGGAATGCAATAATGCTCTCATTACTGCTTAGGGGCAGAAATAGGTAAGGTGGCAGTACTTCCCTGGACGATCTCTTTAAATAGAAGAGATGAGATCAAAGGGTAGGTTACGCAGACGAGTTAAAGGCATAGGGGACTAAAAATCTTGTCCCAATGGCGCATTTCGACTGGCAATCGGTACTATCTCAATTTTGACAAGTTTACAGGATGAAGAAAAAAATTGTTTGCGTCTTTAATTAGCATATGGTTTATTAAATAAAAATATGTAGTTTTTAAAAATTTTTATCACACATGTGCACTACGTAGTTTTAATTAATAAACCAGACGCTATATAAATAATTTTTTCTTCACCTATAAAGTTGTCAAAATTGAGATAGTACCGGTTGCCAGTTCACAGTCGATTTGCAGAATTCGTCCTTCTCCCGACTCTTTGTCGTCACTAGCAATAGGCGAATTTTGCAGGGTAATATATTTATCGGTGCATTCGAATATATTTAGTAGCAGTAGAGCTCTTCGTGAAAGAGGTCCTCCAGAGAAGTACTGCCACCTTAGCCATTTCTGCCGTTTTGAAGGGTAAGGGTAATGGTGACAGGCACTTGAAACTTGTCAAAATTTGACAAGTACGTCTCAGGGCGAAGAACACAGTGGCAGTGTCCTTCAGGTCGTTGCGATTTAAAGTTCTGAATGGCACTGCAGTTGTTATGAGTAGGAGTATCGATTACCACCAGGCGCACGGCTTGTTCGTCCTGTCACTTGATATACTATAAATAGATTTTATCTCAAGGAACGTAATATGCATTTTAAATGTTTTTGTGCAAGTGTGAATATGCACCGACCATTTTGATGAATCTTTTAAATTTTGCAAAAATGGCAACAGTCCTGCTTCTTATTTTTTAAGTCACTGTTAATATATTTTAGGACATCCCTAATTCATTATCTGGCTTTGTAGAATGACAAAAGAATCGGCACCTCTGTATGAAACATCGTTTTATCATAATATAAGCAAAAAAATAATTTATTACTTCGTTTTTATCTCAATACTGAGCTGAGGTAGATTTACCACTTTTTTTAATATCAAATTTAATAATCATTCATAATCATCAAATTCGAGAGTCGATAATTTAAAACTTAAAAAAAAACTCTAAATTTAGGAATATAGATACTATCTATGACATTCCTAATTTCCTATCTATGGTATAAGGATGCAGTAATTTCGATAATATCAGGGTGCTGACAGTATTAGGGTATAGTGGTATTGGAGATATTCATATTAATGCTAACATTCATCGATATCGATAGTATCAGGATGCGGTAATATCGACCACACCCTATTATCTGGTCTCAAGCAAAAGAGAATTCCCTGTATCACGAGTACCAGAGCAACGTTATTCATTCCGGAACTAGAACCAATTTAGAAAAAATAATGTCCCAAATTGATTCTACCGGGACACGAAACCGGGACCTCCTCATCGTCTACAGTGCAAACCGTTCTGTCACCAGGTTCAATAAAATATATCACACAATAAGTGATAGTGTCGACTTATAATTATATACACGGCATTATTTAATAGTATTGTTATTCATCATATCTGTAAGTGAGAAGTAAAGGACATTAAGTCCATATTTTGGAAATTAGAAGTTTTTAATAACTTGCTATGTTTAGAATGCTTAAAAATCAGGCAATGGTAATATTACATTATGTATTAAGGGCGCTAAATAAGAAATTACTAACGAGATCTCGTTAGAAGCCCGAAGCCGAAAGGCTGAGGACTTTGAATCGAGGTTTGTAATTTTTACCGCCCGTGCTACATACAATGTTTTTTATTACATTTGCGAGCAAATGGCGTTTTATTTAACAGATTGCCAGCTAATCTTCCATAGATAATATAATTTCTTACTTTTTTTTTATATTTCAAATTTATGCGGAATATACGTTCAGATTTTTCGAGCATAAAGACTTTTTACTCAATCTTGACGTAAAATAAATCCATAGGGCGAT